GCTGAGTCACTCATCTTTGCGTGGTAAACACTCACCACAAACAGGCTTTGTCAGGGCTAGGCATTGTACTGTCATCTTCATTATCAAAAACACATGCTGCCAGACAAACCTCTATGACCCCCGAGGCTGAAGGACAAAGACGAGTAGAATTGTCTTGCCCTGGGCCGTGGCTACCAAACAGTGTGCAGATTACAAATGTTTTGAGAGGCACCCACCAGAAAGACACCTACATGTACACGCCAGCAAACCCACGGTAATGAAATATCGACTTGAATTCAGAAATTCCAGTGTGACTTGATACAACATACACAGAGATTTCTCCCCTCCCCAATTGTTTACAACACAACTCCCGTTAGTAGCTGACAGTCTATTATCTCTCAAAATATTTCACTGCCTCCTACTTGACACTCCCCCCCCCACAAAAAGAAAAACAGCAAAGTCTTTGCCGTCACTAGTGACGCACCACTTTGGATTTGAACACAGCAGTCAGTAAAGGTCGCAGGTGAAAGATGCACTTCCATAATTACTAACTTGACTGGTTTTGAAAGGGGGTGAATAATTGCTGCTATTATGCACTAAATAATTTTATGAAAATGTGTTTTGCATTATTCCAGGTAAAGCAACTTCTTGCCAACACACTCTGGAACTCAGGCTCATCACTTCAAAGTAACAGATTGTGCAGTGTGTACTTGTTTCTCCCATGGAAAAGGTACTTCTGAATTGCGTGGCAAGGATGTTACAGTACACATAGGCCGGTGTGTTCAACCCTGTATCCTTGACCACTTGGTCATGCTATACCACAAGAGGGCAGTGTCCCTCCACATCAGAGTACTTGACAATTTCTTCTCTTTACTTGCTTTCATCAGTGTGTCCGTGTTGATTGAGGGACATGTGAAAAACATGCTGATGCTCACCATTAATTTCATTTCTCGACAGTTTCTATCACATGCAGATTTTTTCTTCTTTTTTGACGGAAAAGAGATGTCCTGTAAGTGCAAGTCACTAGGCGTTAACATTGAAGACGGCACAAATTAATCACCTGGTGTCACTTCTCATCAAAATGACTTGCTCTTGCTTGTGAAAACAACGGTCACTTGACAACCGAGGAGTATCAGACTCTACCTGCAGGATTATTAGTTCAATATTGAAACCAGTGATTTGGCCAACAGAGGGCAGTATTTCTAATGGCCTGCAGGTGTGACCTTTGCTGAGCATTTGCAAGGCATCCAAGTTATTTGAAACAATTCCGTGCTTTTTTTTTACATCCTCAAGAAATCTGTGAAAGACCTCACTGACCTCCAGAAAAATGCCCGCATTGGCTCAGTGATTTTATTTAGATCAGTCGGAGGAACAAGCCTTGGACAGTATCATTTTGTCAATACCACAATTTTTACATTAGTTTCCAACATTTGTAAACTGGGGTGATATCTGGGTTCAAATGTATGCACTACTGAACAGGGAGTTGGTGGTTCGAATCCTGACCAAGTAAGCCGGTGGCGTTTTTCTCACAGGAGAAAACACGTGAATTTGCCCAGGAAAGCCTTTCAGTTTATACACCACAAATCTGTAGCCTAAGCTGTGGTATGAAAGTCACTTGGAATTGGTTACTACAGAAGTCAAGAATCACTAGATCAGAGCCAGATGTCTTTCACTTCCTCCAGAAAAATAAAGAAACATATAATGCAGTCATGCTTTGCACAATTGAATAAATAGAATCTACACTATGCACAGCAAGGTAATTGTAGCCGCAGACTTCCTGTGTCAGTAAATCATCCGAGCAGAACCAAGGTGTTTTGGGAAAGTCTGTGAAGCTTCATTCGTGAGGAGATACAACGTGAGACAAAGAATTGAATGCCCCGAGAATAATTTGGCACACTCACCCTCGAGTAATGCTTTTACTATTCAATTATTCAGTGTCACACCATATGGAAGGTTTTGACATTTGGGATAAAATGAAATAAAATTGAAGCCTGTTTGGTAAATATTCCAAATGTGCAGGTGTATTTCAGGATCCCCCCCCACAAAAAGATTCAAATTTAGTTAATGCAGCTTGTAAGTGCACAGATAGATACATGTACGTGTTAACTGAAGCCATTTTTTTTGTTCTAGCAATATGAATAAAAAGACAGTGGAAACTTTCATAATTTGCCTGTACACTGAAGCATTACAAAACACCTCATAACAGGGCAATGTCCAACCATGTTGAAATTTTGCACATCAGAATGAAATCTCGTCATTTTTTGGCACCTGCCGTGATTTTGCATTCGTACTGCAGTTGACTCCCCCGAAGAAATCATGTAGGTGATGTGCGCGTCGGTAGACGGGATACCAGACTGGCTGGTCCTGGCCATTTGTAGTGACTGACACATTGACTGTTTAGGGGGTATTGTTTGCTCATGTTACTGACATGTTTAGGTGCACCACGCTCGGGGCAATGAGACAGCTGTTCCTTCCTTGATGAGGGCATTAGGGCGTCATAATATCCGGATTCACCTCAGAAACTCCTGACAATGCTCAGCAGCGAAGGATCTTACTTAAACCATAACAGCCTTCAATCCTTCAAAAGTCTGTATCTTTTAATGGGACGTACATGGGAGTAAGGGTTAATATTAGTAACAAGTATGTCAAAAGCTCTCAATATCATGGACGTCTGCAGAGTTTTTGACTGGTTTCTTGCTGTTCATCAGTGTTTGTGAATAAGCCAGTCCGGCATTTCAAAAAGCCAGGGTCTTCCGGGAACAAAGCATGCGTGTGAGTCAGCGTATGGCTGTGCTGATAGGATAGACTATCGCGTGCGTGTGTAGCTGTTCCCCGATAGCCTCGAACTGAGCATGTGCTATTGCAATACCAAACAGGCTCATTATTAGGAACAGATGTTGCAGACTCGACTGGATGGATACCGGGATGAAGTCCATAACTACTGACTAACCCTACCTCACTTTCTGCAATCCCTTGCTCAATGGGATGGTTTTGAGACGCTTGTTGTTGGCAAACATACCAGCTCCACCTGGAAGTCTACCACTGTTTGCGTCGTTTGGGCATGCGCACATCAGCACAAATACAACGCAAACCAAAATGGACCAGTCACCCGTGACCACAATGTCTGCCGCCATCAAGTGTCTGAGACGTCTCCCATTGTTTTGGACTATATTCATGATTTCAGTCGATCTTCTGCCACAAGTGGAAATAAACTATAATCTGCAATGTTCAACTTTCTAGGATGGTGATGATTCAATGCCATTTTGTATATTACTATTATGTCCCTTTGTGCTGCTCAGTGTTACCCCTGTCCATCAGGCCTACATGTACGTATCGTTCCCCTGGACCTATTCAATTCCTCTGTAAATATACACCTAAATAATGTCACCTGATTGATGGCACATTCTACGACCATCTCAAACCTACAGGTGACCATTTATTCCAAGCCGGAGAGAAACATAATGTGACAGACGCCTTTGCCAAACAAAACGCAAAATACAATCCACTGGCTGAACATAAAGCCCACGAAGTTGAGATGAAGCATGGGGCCACGGAACAACGGCAACTGAAGCTGAACCCACTACAAAAGCATTTGTGGGCCTTGGCCTGGCAGCATGTACACAAATTTGTCACCTGGCAAAGTTCCATAATGAAGCACTCTATTGGTTAACCCTAACCTTCCCCAACCACACAGAATTAAACAGAAGTAAAGTGTTTAATTCTGTGGGGATAGATCTGGTAGGCCCATAACAGCTGGCTTTTGCATTGGGTTTGGCATACCCTAGGAAAACAAAGTCCAACAGCCTCTGTGCACAAAGTCCTATATGGGTGTTTAACTTTGTGTGAATGGGGAAGGTTAGGACCAGCAACCCTTGGGGGGTTAGGGTTAATAATCCTTGATGAAAATGTCAACTTCAGTTAAGAGAGCGAGCTTTTGGACTCAAAACATGTTTCATTCTTCAGGGAAAGGCATTTTCAGGACCACTTGCCCAAGAGGTTGTGAGAAAGGAACTGATCAGGGCAGGTTGATTACAACTTCAAGAAATGAGCAGTTCCGAGCAGTCGTGCAAACACTAACACTGTGGCCACAATGCTGTGGCAAAGAAAACACTGTCAGTGCCATTGACAAATCTAGGTATACATGTGATCAACCATCCCTTAGGAATATTCATTAAGATGTGATGTAAAGATTAGCCTTAGATTAGATTTGAGTAACTCAGAACACAAGCCTCGCGTAAAGTTATGTGTGCAATGCACAACAGGTACTAATGGAAGTGGAAAACGGCTCATTGCACACGTGTTCTCAAAGTGCTGGCTGCGTGTACACATCCCAAAATATCTCAGATTTCTGAGACTACTTTTTTAACTAAGCGCATGATATATGGACCGCATGTGTTTGAGCATGCCTGAAGCCAAACTGTGCTAAATACATGTACTCCCACTGCGTCTGTGTAAGAACTGGACACAGCCAAAATCCTCCAACAATAAATGTCAATAAAAAGTTGAAGCACCCCCTTTCCCAACTGCAAAGAAGAGCTAGGTTGGTGGGAATCGTTTCATCTGGGTCCCCGGAGCACAAGCGGCGACCGTACATGTATGTTTCAACAGAAATTTGTCGCATGTGTTCAGCACATCCCATGCCAAACGCACATAAACACGCCTATGAATTCCCACTTCAAAAGCACAATTGCTACGACATACATGCTTGCACAAGCTCGCCATCTTTTGTCACAAAAAAATAGAGCGGATATTTGGACGCGGTATGAGTGATATCACGGACCGGTGCGAATGACTTCCAGGATGATGTAGGCCTACGTTTATGCATGACCCAGCGTAAACACCCCAAGGTCCGGCCCAAGACTTTGACACAAGCATCCTTTGAAAATCTGCAAAGAGGTTTTGACCTTGCAGCCACAATACTTCAAAATCTTCCACTTGTGCAAGGATGATTTCAGAGGATTTGAGAAAGTTGGTGTGACACTCTCACAGATCAGTGCCATCATACATGTACGCCGATGTACCTTCTTTTAGCTTCTTCCTCAGCCTGGCATGGACGCCCTTCACCACACCGCTGACTTTCTTCTCGCAGCCCTCCTCGCAGCACGAGCACGTCGACAACATTCTTTCCTGAAATCTGAGCAACATCAAGTCTGAACAGGTTATTGTCACATAATAAGCGTTTCCCCCAATACCTCACCCAAGATTAACGTCAGCTCACAGCTTCCAGCTGTGCCCTTAACCGGGATCCAAACCTTGCAAGCTGATTACAAAAGAAGCAGAACTATCCAACAGTAAAAGGTCAGGGAAGGCACAACTGAGCTGAATTGGAAGAAAAACTAATCAAATTAAAAGATGGATCTCAGTGGGTATTTCACGTCAACCCTTTTCCTGAGCCATTACACTGTATGCCAGAGTGGTCACTTTCTTCATCGCAGGAGGGACTTGGGTAAAGACAGACAAATTAGCTGCAAGACTCGGGCTCATTCAACTCAGAAGCCAGCAAGTGTTGGACAAGAAGAAGTTGCATGCTTTTCTATCATTACAAATGAAAGGAAGATGCGGAGGACGATGATCATTTGAGCACTTCAGCAGTTATGGACGTCTCATTTTGACCAAACTATGACTAACTTATGCTTTTGGCAATTGAACATGGCAATGCTTCGGAAAAAGTGCATAGGGCCCAGGATTCTTTCACAATGAAAACAATTTGACAATTGTTTCAGGAAAGAAATTCTGATATGACACAGCCACGGCATACATGTAGCTGGCGCTATCAATTTTATCAAGTACATGAAGGTATACGTATCTTTTCCACAGAAAAACATGCTTTGCAAAATTCTGGCACACTTTTCCCAGAGGTCACCAAGTCTACCCAGCATGCACTGCAACTCGTTGTGACATCACCTCTACTATTTACGAACACAACTCATCAGGCAATCCCTACATGTATGTGACCAATGCACTCTGAGGTAAACACAAGGCTGTAACAGCTGAAACATGCTGAGAATGGAACCCAGCAAAGACGGTCTTCTGGGAGGGTACTTACGAGGATTTTCTTGGCAACTGTCTCAACTGGTGAAAACTCTACAGGTATCTCCACTCACGGGTGAGGTCGAGACTGGCAAAGCTGTCGAATCTCCGCAGAAGTCACCTGCATCTTAGAGAAAATGTGATCCGTTACGACAAGAAACTGTCAATACAATTTTAATTCAAATTTGTCAAAACTAATTACCAGTGTGGCCCATGGTTTGTAAAAACCAATAACAGCATGCATCACATTTGCTATGCAATGTTACACAAGCAATGAGGAAAAACACGAAAAGCGCCCGACACCATTTGTAGTATAAAGAGTTCAACACATCCCCACACCATCCATATTGTTTCAAAGGCAGACTGGTAAACTGGCAAAAAGCGACTTCACAGGGAATGGAACACTGCAGTAGAAGTGTTGTTGAGACCATTACGAGACCAGGCACAGGACTGTTTACGAGACCAATCACAAGTAACAATACAAAGATTGACCAGGGGAATGCTTTCATCATCACAGTTGATTTGCGACTTGCGGACCTAGATAGGTCTTGTGACAGTTGTAAGAGGCCTCGCCAACAATACTGTGCAGTAGTGCGTGAGTCCGTATTTCACATAGCCTTTAGTCAAGGTGCGCATGGCACCCTGGCTGCTCAGCTGGTAACACCAACAAGACCAGTGCGAGTGGCAACGTCTTTTTCAGGTTACCACTTACCGTGCTGGCATCCAGGCAGCCAAGCGGGCCTTGACTAACGGCTACATTTCACCCAGCAAATCACATACTGCACAGTTTCTGTCACCTATTGGCTTGCAAACTGCCTGATGGTTTCTCTATTATGCAAAACAACCATTTGACTGCGACAACTGAACATGTACTTTTGCCAATTTACAGAATCATATTAAAATAACTGTAATTCTATAGCCAAGAAGTGGGCAAGGAGGTTGAGGCCGAATTCGTCCCCCAGCTGTAAAAGTTTGGGGGTAAAAAGATCATACTCCTGCCATCCCCCCTTCCAAGTACTGAACCCCTTGCCTTGCAAAAATCCCCCACATAAATGACACTCCTTTTAAAGCTTGGTGTCTATGAGATTCCAAGATCCTGAAAGCTGGATGGAACAGTTACCAACTTTGTTGGTGCGGCAACAATGCAAACCCTAGGACTTGAAAGTGGTACACTGACATTAGACCTGGGGGCCATCCCAGTGTGGGGGGGGGGTGATGATAGGTGGATTATGTGGAAAATTTATATTTGCCATGCCCCATCTCCACTGCCCCTGTACCCTATGCCATCTATGGATCAGCACCTAACATTCCTGGAGGAGCCTGAATGAGTAGGACTCCACAAACATTTGACGAAATGCTTGCACACCTCTTTCACTATCATTACCCAAGTAACTAGAACATCACAAATCGTGCCTTTTTAAACATGGGCCTATCATCTAATCAAGTCCAAGACTCGGACTAGTTCCAAGAGACTGTCATGTCTGTTTTCCTTCCTCAATTATCATGTCAATGCTCAATTGACTCTAGAGCAAGGAACGAAAACATGTTAACCACGGTGATGTGAATCAATGTAGTCAGTGCCTGTGCTAGTCATGCTAATGCTTATGTAATATCTAGGACCCAACTATAGAGTTGGATATAATGGACCCAACAGATCGCCTTATGACCAGATCAAGTCCAAATGATAAACAGCGGATTGAACTGTCCTTCCTCCAAGGATTTGTCGGACTACTGTACATGCGGCATGTGTAGAACACCATAACCGTTACACTGTGCCCGTACGAACATATACATATACACGTACAGTACAGTTGTACATGTACATATACATGTACATTGTACCACACATTCGCGAGTGGCGCGTGTAATGTCAAACAAATTCGCTTGCTTCAAGAAAATGAGGAAAGAGGAATGGAAAATCGAGGCCAACCAGAATACGAAAACCTGACAATGTATGTTAAAAGCAGCTTATGTTTTGGTTGGGTTGATCATGGAGGAATTCCTCCATGGGCTGATAAGTTATTTACAAAATGTTCTCCTCGTGTCACTCGTCACTGATGGAACTCTGAAATCGCTGGCTCACAGCGCAGTGGGAACGTTTATTGCGTCTTCCGTACGAAACCAGCGACAACATGCGCACAAACAGAAACAACGATTACTTCCGAGTTCGTAAGGTGAAACTTTGAACGAAAAAAAGTGCGTATTTTACGCTACAAATAAACCTGTATCCATTAAACAGAGAAATTATTGATATCGTTACATTGAACATATAAACTAAAAGTCATGTGCAACATGCTATGAACAAAACGAACACACGCAATGAAATTGTCACCCAAATTACGAGTAGCAGTCGACGGAGCTCACATCAAGAACGCAGCCATCGCACCCATGCTTGTTTACGCAGTAGGTTAAGTTGACGTCATGATCGGACAGTGTGCCACTAGAAACAACAATGAATTTTGACCTAAAATAGTTCTAGATTCTCCCGAGCGTGGATTTGCTCTGGATTACCAAGGCACAGACAGTGAAGGAAAAGAACACATAGTGTAACTGGTACGTGAGTTAGAAAGAAAATGAGAATTTACTGGCGGTTGTGTTGGAGATCTCCCGTATAGAGGCGGACTGATAATTAATGTTGTTTATCGAGATGAGGCGTTGCATTTGCAGTACACAAAATTCGATGTCTCAGTCTCGTCTCCAAATCAAGAGAATTTCGCCACCCTGCTCAGCTCGGAGCTCGAATCTCTCAAGAAAATTCCAAGGTAGGTTCCAAGCAAGACGAATCGACGGTGAATTTGCTACAGGTTGGGCTGTGTTCTGTCTAAACCGCGTGATTCATATTATGTATTTTTGTTGTTGTTTGTGGCACTGGAAGTCTTTCTCTGCCCGTGGAATAAATAAATTTGCATAGTGAACAACACACTCTTGTCAATGCCGTTAGCTTTACATGTGTGCAACCGGCCATGCGCGATGTATGCATGCACGCACAATGTGTGTGCATTGTACACTACATGTATTACAATACATCCGGACGACGATAGGCCTGAGCTTCTTGGCCTCTCTCAGGCCAAGAGAGCAGACTTGTCGGAGGGGGAAAACAGGTTCGCCGTTGCGAAATATTGGCCAGTTTTATCTCAGGATTGTACAAAACAGATAGAATAAACAAGATGGTAAGAAATGAATATCATAAGTAACATCGTTCATTTTTGCTGGCCAGTTGAGCGATTCGCATAGTGCGAATTCCGTCAACTGTGACTGAGGTTGGGAGTTGGAATTGATTTGCTATAAAAGTTTACAAACAAAAGTTTCATACCATGTTGTTCATGTTGGTTAGAATTGATCTTGGCCTTGGAGAAACATGGAAGGACATGAAGGATGTGTTACTTAAGCCTAAACTGTAAAAGTTAAGTTGGTCTTCAGCCAAGAAAATCCTCTAAAGTTGTGCAATGGGCATATCAATTCTCAAGGAGTTTAAATCAGATTAGGAAACTAAATATGTGTACAGCAAATGCAAATTAGTAAAGAATTCCATTTACAGACACTGCTAATTTTTCCTTGCAGTGACCTCATATTAACTATATGAATGATTATGAAAACAATAAAATGTCAAAAATTCAAATTTTGCTGTGAAAATAGGTATTCACTTCGAAAACTTTTCAGACCTGTCGGGTAGGGTTTGTAAATGGTGTCAAGCGGCATCTGTATGTGGAATCTTTTTCACAATTTGTGACAGGACGAACTGTCATGGCTGTGTTTGTTGTCATTATATTATAAAACTTTAAAAGTACCGACAGGGTGACCTTATTGTGATTACCTGTAGAGAGATTTTGAAGAAATTGAATGCTACGCAAAACAAATGTCAGACTTTCCGGCACCCATTTATGTCTTATGGCACTGTGTGTAGTTACCATTATTACGTTATCTTTCAAAGTAACAAGAGTCAAAAATTTTCAAACTACAAAAGGGTTTTATTGTTTTGTCCATGTTTTTTGAAAAGCCATCAGTGAATGACATTGTCAGTCTCTTTTCAGGACTGAATCTCCTTACAGGTTCATGAAATTCTCCATGGTCATTGGCCAGATCAACAGCAAAATGATACTTAAGTGGCCATCCATTTGTTTGTTAGCTTCACCGGCATCGATGAAGAGTTCTTGCTTTTCTGTATCCGTCCCCTTTTGTACTGTTTTGTAGAGAGTTTAAAATGAAAACATAAAACAATAATTCAGTATCATTTGGGGGGGGACTGCAGGTGTATATATTGCCCTCTAACCCCTCCCCAGGGTACGGCTTGTACATGTACAGGCTGTGAAAATGAGGAAACAAAAAAATAGATGACCCCCAAATCAATTTTGTATCAATTTTTTTACAGCCCCGCATCCAGCTTCCCTTGTCCCGTTTCCACAGTCCTGCTTTATGACTAAATGCATGGTTGCACCACAAAGGTGTGAAATGTGTCCACCGCTTACCAACCAATCATACCGTGACTGCTGCGTTGATATTAGACAAGCAAACAGCATGTTTGCAACTTGTGGAATAATTTGGGAGCTGTCCAGACTGAGTCTTGCATTTTTATATCAACACAGGATAATACAAGATAATACAGTCCATCCATCGTACGCTGTTGCATCATTGGGAGGCCTCCCGACATGCTCTTAAACAATTTAATTTTTTTGACAATAAACTAAAGCGCTGAATGCTCTCCACATATGTTGGGCTCATTACCTTCACTGTTTCTAGGAATGCAAAATTTCTGAGATCTTTTTAAAACCTGTGCATAATGTATGGCTGTACAAACTAGTACTGTGGTGCTGTGGATGACCTATATATTATTCTGAAAAAAGAGCACTTTGCAAGCTTCAGTATCAACGGCTGGAGTTGGCCTCACTCACAAGTCGACCATATTGAATTGAAAGCAAAGTCTTTTTTTATATTAGCACCCGAGAATAAAGAATGAAAGCTCGGAAATAAAACTTCATCAGATTGTCATTAATGCAGGTGAAGAATTTAAACTTTGTGACTATTTATATCTGAATGTTTTAAGCCACATTTTAAAAAAGCTGAACGTGAGGCTTGGCACCAAAATAGTCTGGCACCACCCCATTTAACAGATTACAAGGTCTGTTTGCATCATCAAGGAAAAGAAGGAGGAATTGAAAATATCCTGCCGAATTGCAGGCTAAGTACCTGTACTCCTTTTGTGTGGAGGTATTGCAAGGTACGAGTACATGCAGTTTGGGGGTATTCCTTAGTTAAGAGTAAATCTTAGACTGTCAGACTTCTATGGTAACTTTATGGGGACATAAAGTACAGGACCAGAAGTAGGGTAATGGAAGGGTCAGGATTGTACACCTTTTGGGAGACATACCGGTGCGCCTTTTGGCGACAGTTTGTTTTAAAACTTTTATGTACTCCTGGGCGGCCTACTGTGTCTTGTGCTTGTCTTCTTGTATGTGGAAATGCCCGATTAAATGTTGTCATCCAACCTGATGGATTTGCATCACAGATTTGCATCCTCCAAATATTTGTAATAGAAAAAAAGTCATCATTAGGCAACTGGAACCAGAGTTACCCCTGTGCTACTGATATGTGTGAGGTGGTCAAACAAATTTTGCCAAAATTCTAGTGCCTAAAACAAAATAAATGTTTTCAAAAAGACCTAAAATAAATACTATTTATTCCAAATTTCCCCTCTAAAGCAAATTGATCTGGTATTCAAAATTCTGTGCCCCTCTTAACCATTCTGAATGATTTAAAAAATGATCTGCAAATTTCACAATATCTAAGTTATTTTGCTTTTTCCGTCCATCTTTGTCTATTTGAAGTGTGAGGGGGCGAAATTCAACAGAAAAGCCTGAGGTGGGACACACTTGAATAGGCAGAGGAAACCTTGGCTTAAATGACAATGAGCTATGAGAAGCTGTCAGAGGAAAACAACTTCAAATAAGGACATTTCTCATTTTTAACTTCAAGGTTCGCATTTCAACTTGATGTGCGTTTATTAAAATGTGCCATCCCAGTATGCAGTGATTTAGTACAAAGACCGATTCTACTCCGTCCTCTTCTTTGACATCTTATTGCGCCACATTTATTCCAATTCAAGAAGGTGGAGAGGGAGAATCTTTCCGTGTCAAGCCAGTTTCTCGACAAGGACTAAAGGATGCTTTTAAGTCTTGACAGCACGTCATGCACTTCCCGATACGACAACCATCTGTTGTTTACTCCAAACACAAAGCCTGAGGGCCCGTTCATGTGCATGTACATGTATTTTCTGTGCCATTCCCAAAATAATTCAAAATGGAATTTACAGGCATTCAAAGAAACCAGTCACAACCATCAAATGCCCCCACCGTTTCCTGATTGCTATTTGAAAAAAGTACTCAGATTTATAAACGAATTTCACTTTTCTGGCTCAAATTTGTGCATTGCTATAAAGTAATGGGATTGTTGATGTTTTTGCATTGTACAGATGGCAAGTCCAATTTTGCTGTACCAGAGTTCACTTCTGTAATTTCCGATTTTTTTTTTCAAATAGAAATTCTAATGAAAACTACATGTAGACACAATTAGGGACAAAAATCTTTTCCCAGATGTCGGTTACCTTTCCTGTTTGTTGTGTAACTGCAAGCATGTCTCTACACATCAGTTTTTAATTGTTTGTTTTTGCATGGTGGTGCTGTTTGTTCTTGTTTGGTGTATTTCTTTCTCCTTTGTGTGTGCTTTTTTGGGTGGGGTTGTCCTGCTCGGTGATGTGATGCACGGCCATTAAATATAGTAATCACGTTTTTGACGACTACCTCAACGTAGAGCCTCCATCGCTTGGCCAGCCAAAAGAGTGAAATATAATAGGCCCAATAAAATAATGATTGTGGTCTGCCTAGTCTCTAGAATAATACACTTGGTTGGCACTCCGGAGTGGCATCGACCAAGGAGCTCCGTGCGCAGAAAGGAGGGAAAAAAATTAAAAAGGAAGAGGAAAAAAGAAATTGCGGAGGTAGGGTGTGTGTTTGTTTACCCATTGCTTGTTTTGTGTTGGCTGTTGTTTACACAGTAAAATGGCCATGTCTTGCTGCTTCATTCGCCAGGGCATATAACAACAAGGTTTTGAATGCTCAGCTGCCAACCTGCCCTTAGTGTTGTTTGTGCAATGGGGGTTCTTGCCCCATTTATTATTTATCCTGGCTTTTCCCTGCGCTGAATATCCAATTTGATCAAGTAGTGTGGGGGGGGGATGTGGCAGTGGGAATGTAGCACCATTTAGTTATTGAAAGAACAGGTCATGTGTAAGCATGTCTTTACTCGGTGGTGA